CCATTCCCGGCGAAGCGCTTGCTTGAGGTGATCGACACTTTTTTATTTGTTAGTGCCATCCGTGCTTTCCAAAAAAACACCAGACACAATAGTCCAACAGATTTATATCCGGAGATTTTAGTGGTCATTGTGCGCTGCAAATGAAGCGAAAAACCTCATTTTGTAACCATTTTTTGGGTGGCGCGTGCCGAATGCGATGGTGCTGAGTCCTGTTGGAATGTCCAAGGTATGCGGCCCAAATGTTTGCGTGCCCAAGGCTTTAATACACTCTCTATAATATTTTCGCCCTATTTTTCCCCTTTAATACACTCTCTAGAATATTTTCGCGATAATATTCGGCAATAATTCTGATGCCACGGTCGATTAATACGAGCGGAGAGGACCACGGGTGTTATGGCGGCCCACACCATCACCATGATCGGTGCTTGAGTTCTGGTGGCCAAACGAAGGTGCACATTTTCAGCTGACTCTTTTGGCAAATTAACACGATCATTTTGTTTGTTTACAAACTGCTGGACAACGAATGTTTTCCCATCGGAGACGGAGAAAACCAAATTCGGCAGTTCACCACTTTCGGTCAAGTGAAGCTACTCTTTAGTCCTTTTAAGTCTGTTTTCTTTCTGGTGCGGTGTAAGTTCTTGCACTTTTTGGAATTTCAATGGCATTACCCCGAGCTCATTTTTCAATATTTGCCGAATGGAATATTACGATATATTCAGCACACGAGCCATTTTTCGGCCACTGCGACGCGGGTTTCGATCAAAACGCTTCTTTACTTTTCGAACCATTACTGCTGATGTTTCCGGTTTCTTCCATCAACTTCCTTGACACGGTAGCGGGCGATGGTACGAGACACAAAAGATTTATTCACATTTAAATTCTGGAGTGCACTAACGATAGCCACTTGTGGTTTTCCAGCCAAATATAAAGAAATCACGCTTGAATTCCATCACGAATAACTTTTTTCTGGATAATTAACACCAAAATGCTTTTGTTCGCTTGTAAACAATATAATGAGCTGTCAATGGAATAATAAATGACAGCAGTCTGAAGTTGATTGCAGTTTTTTTATCTCACCCTGTAATCCAAGTAATATATAATTAAATGCCGCAATTTAATTAAACGAGTTCGGTGTGGATAAGGCTTAAGGCATGTGCAATACATGTTACAAAAACGGCAAAATCAGAGCTCATATTTTGACTAGAAATGAAGACGCCTCGAAACTGTTCTTCACAACTTCAAATTTTCCCTTGATATGAAATTTATGTTTTAAATTAAGCAATACTTAAGGTGAGAGTACATAAAAAGCTTTGTTTTTAGCGGGCTTAAATCATCGGCTGGCTTCTTCGAAAAAGAACAAAATCGAACTAAGTAAACCTAAAACTCCTTTGTTCCTCTACGAAGAAGCGAGCCGATAACTTAAGGTGAAAATATAAAACGCTGTTTTTTTTTTTGACCGGCATCGTCGGCTGGCTTCTTCGTAGAGAATCAAAGGAGTTTTAGGTATGTATTCTCACATTTAAGCCACTCAAAAAAGCGTTTTATGTACTCTCACTTCTCTAAAAAAAATTACTTGTTATTACTTCAAAGGCTTTGTTGTTGTTTAATTAGAACATAAGCTTAAAAGCTAATTCCTTAAATATCTAGCTTTTCTCTTCTTCAATTTAAATCTTTAAATATGCTTGAAATTGAAAGTTAATGAAAGATAGCTAGCCTTTAGCCCTTTACCCTATTACATAGTAATATAAACAAGCTACCTTGAGCATCGCTTGTTCCTTCATCTTAAAAAAAATTGAAAGCTTGTTGTGCATTATTATCTAAAGCAATTTTAAATAAATCGCATTTTATTAGAATAATGAAATAAGTCTTAATTCAAATATGATTTATTGAAATACGCCGTGACAATATAAATATTAATTTATTTGAATATGTGTCAAATAAATGTCAATATCATTGGATAATGCATAATTTAGGTGCCAGTGTGAATGTGGCCTTATTTGCACATTTTTATTTATCTGTATTGTATGATGATAGAAGAATACAGGTAGATGTATCACTGTTTGGAAACATAGATATTTCAATTTTTTATATTTTTTTTCAAAAATAATTAGATTTTAATAGGTTTTCTTCTACGACGCCAATGATATGCATTTTCAACAATTTTATTTCATTTTACAAATAAATATTCCAGCTGGCTATTTTAATAAATAAAAACAAAGAATGAATTTTATTGATCTAGTTCCGTGGGTCACTTCAGTGAATCGTTCAATAACTGGGCGATTAGTTAACTATACATCACATGGTAGAAGAATACAGATAGTTGCAGTCGACACAGCTGCTACCCAAAAAGTCAAGAAAAATAATTAAGCTTTTAGACCTTTTAAATATACGTTAGCATATATTGTTAGAAGTGAGAAATGTACACATGATCAATGCCTTTCCTAAGGAGCTAATGAAATAATCAGCTGTTTTTTTTTTGGTACACCCATGGTAGAAGAATATAAGTAAACGCCTCGACACAGCTGCTAGGACAATGAACTATCAAAAAAAAATTGAAATTAAATGAAAAATTATTGAAAGTTGTGAAAATTGTTGAAAAATTCACATCATAACAAACTCCAATTTGCGACGTATTACAAAAATATATAAAAATCTACAATGTTCCCAAGCGTTTGTGCATCTACCTATATCCTTCTACCATGGTATGTACTTTTCTCAAGTATTTCACCACTGTGATGGCGTTCGCGTATCACATAATATGTGCAACTTCTACACATGGAAAAATTTGGTATTACATATGTACAAAAAACATATCGTGTGTTAGAGGCTCAATATGTTTTGACATTACTAACAAACATAAAAGAAAACAATTGAATTTTGCTGAAAACCCAAAAAGCAGGCATATCAAACGAATCATGAAGGGCAAAATTAATACAAATGGCAACTATTTAATTGGCGAAAAAACACTTCATTGTTTTTATAAATTGACAAATTTGTTTTTTTTTTTTTGACAGTGAACAAATTTAGTACATTGTCTCGTCTTTTGCAAAAGCAGGGTTACCAATATATTTTAATTAAAAATGTTATCAAGCCTTAAACCCCATATATACATAACAAAACTAGTGCATTTCAATTGTCAATTCCGTTACATATACCTCTAACTAAATCCACTGGATTTGAGAATCGATTCCATTTGATGTGTCCACGTTGTAGAAATTACAGTTGAAATCAACTCGATTTTGGTAAATGTAAACGACAATTTATAGAATAAAACAGAATCACATATCTTGCAAATTATAAAGGGCAACGCCGTCAGAGTTACTAAGCGACTTGAACATTTCTTTTTAATTTGACATTTCCAAAGCACGAATATGAAGCTAAGAGCTTAAGTTCTAAGGGTGGAAATACATAAATCGCATATTTGGCTGGCTTCTTCGTAGATGAACAAAGCAGTTCTAGGTTGACTGAGTTCGGTTTTGATCATGAGCTCCTCTGTTCATTTCCGAAGAAGCCAGCCAGATAAGCGTGTTTGTATTCCCACCTTAAAGGCTGAAACAGATCGTCAGAATAGAATAAAACAGATTCATATATCTTGCTTCGTCGAAGCCAAATTATAAAGAGCAACGGCGTCACAGTAACTTAGCAACTTGGATATTTCCTTTTAATTTGACATTTCCATAGCAAGAATATGAAACGAAGAGCGCAAGTTCTAAAGACTGATACAGATCAAATCTGGTAAAAGATGAAAACATAAAACTGCCAACAGTGTTGTATTTCCACGACGTAGTCACGATATAAGCTTTGATATGTTTCAGGCTTAGTTACATTAGCGCGTTTAGATACGAAATTTTTAACCGGGTTAATCCTGATAATTGGTCAAGCACAACTTAAGGTATGTTTACCATAGAAACATTTTTATGATTGATCAAATAATCCGAATATAGGTAATTCCAAGAGGAGTCTCTACGCTGAGCAACCCCTATAGAAATAGATAACTTTGGGAAATATCTTCTCCTGAATTTACTTTAAAAATACAAAGGAATTTAGGGTGAGCCATAATCTGAACTAGAAAGACAGCCAAAGAATTAAGGTAGGGACACATAAGCAGCTTGGCACCTTTGCATGGCATGTCAAATTATAAGGGACAACGGCGGCAAACTTCGTGAGCTACTCCGACATTTTCTTATAATGGGTCACTTAATATGCTATGTAGCGAGTCCAAACTGCATATGTATCTCCAACTTAATTGTTTGGCTGGATGTCTGGTTCAAATTATGGGCTAAAATTGAACTACCTTCCCCTAATTCTTTTGTTCTTTCATGCCAGGAAATGATTATCTTATGTGGCTACGAAATATTCTTAAAGGTGCAAGTACATAAAAAGCTTGAAGTCATGGCTAGGCATATTAATGTCAAATTACAATGGGAAACGACGGTTAGATTTTAGTGCGGCTCTGTAATCCCTTTATGAAATGTCACAAAATATGCCTAGCCATGACTTCAAGCTTTTTATGTACTTGTACCTTAAGACAATTCATTTATGTGTTCAGGCCTCCGAAGCACCCAAGCTTTTCAAATGTTTTGGGTTCCGTTGCACAAACGTACAATGTATAATTAGAAATATTTTAAAATAAAAATTTAGCTCAGATATTTATTTTAAGAAATTCTTCACAAAAAACAATTAAAATTTAACAGATAAATAAGCTCTAATTTTGATCGAAAGAAGTCAGAGCATTTTTCCAACTCTCAATTCTTTTCCATTTGTCGTCTCTGTGTTTGTGTGTGTTTCCGTACTAATTTTAAAAACTTCCGAGCCAAATAAATGTAGTTCTGTGTCGCATCATTAGCAAGCATTCATCCGCCTGTTGGAGAGTCCAATCTGCACTTATATGTTCAAGAAGGTCATGGTGAAAGGTTTTTCTGTGTTTGTATGTGTGAGACAACATTGTAAAAGGGAGACATTTTTTTTTACAACTGAAATTCAAAATCATTTTCCAACAGCGTCATCAGCGACACATTGATCGTGATTTAGATGAGCATGAATCGACACATCAAATACGAGTACCCAAGAATCGAAAGAGACATCATCTTAGTCACCACAAGAAAAGTGATCGCTTGCAGTTGGCCTTGGCCCCGAACGGCAAAGCCGGTGACAAACATGAAAAGCATGGAGGCAAAGCCGGAAAAACAAACCATGGCCATCATGGTAAGAAGCATCACAGCAAACATCACAAGATGGCACATGATGATGATGATGATGACGAGGAGGAGTATGATGACGAAGACAATTATGATGATGACGATGATGATGAAGAAGAAGATGAAAAGCCTGGCCATGGCCATAAAAGTAAACACCCCAAAGAAGAGACCGAAGAGGAATATGAATACGAAGACGATGAATTGTATTCGGCTGATGCATTGAATAACACCAAAAGAGCTGAGGTCGATGTTGTATTCTTCAATCGGGTACCCAAAGTGGGTAGCCAATCTTTGATGGAGTTAATGGTAAAATTGGGTAAAGTCAATAATTTTGTACACTCCCGCGATGTGGGAAAACCCCATGAGACCATATTCCTCCAGCCACCCAAGCAAAAGGAATTGATTCATGAAATCTATAATCTGACACGGCCACGCATCTACAGCCAGCACATTGCCTATATCAACTTTACCCAACACCATATGCCACGGCCAATTTACATTAATTTGGTACGCGATCCCATTGAACGCATCCGTTCGTGGCATTATTATGTACGTGCCGAATGGTATTATCGCGATTTGAAGGCCAAGTTGGGTGACAGAGCACCACCAATGCCGCCAAAAGAATTTATGGAAATGGACTTGGATACCTGTGTCAAGACCGGAGATATCCACTGTCAATTCAATCAAATGCAAATTAAGAACCCGGCTGGAGATCATCGTCGTCAGACCTTGTTCTTTTGTGGACAAAACAAGAAGTTGTGCATGTAAGTTTGGAGCAGATGAAAGACGGAGAATTTGGCAGAATCTTGAGTTAAAAAAATATGTATATACATTTTTTAGGCCCTTCAATTCCAAAGCTGCCATGCAAAAAGCCAAGCGAACCGTAGAGGAAGATTATGCTGTAGTGGGTACCTGGGAAGACACCAACATTACGCTGTCAGTTTTGGAACACTATATACCACGATTCTTTACAAATGCCAAAACGGTGTATTATGGTGAGATTAAATTTCCCACTTTCCCCAAGGGGCTAGCTTGATTGTCTTTTTGTTCGTGTTATTCTTTCCAGAGGGCAGAGACCGTTTCTCCCGTGTCAATAAGAACAACGTTACGCGCCCCATCAGTGAAGAGACCCGCATGATATTGAGCAAAAATCTCACCCATGAAATTGAGTTCTATGAATTCTGCAAGCAGCGTCTCTATTTGCAGTATAATGCCATCAGCGATGGCCAATCTTTGGACAATGATGACTACATGTTGATACCGGATAGTCAAGAAGAAGAAGTCGACGAAGAAGAGTAAACTCAGTGCTTTTTTTTTTGTAAAGTTTTAATGTACTTAGATCCATAAGCTATATTAAGATACGCAATTTTTTTTACCTATGTATAATCAAAGAATTTCTAAAGTCTTAGCGAAAATAAAGTACAATTTAATAAAAAAACAAATATTTTTGAAAGAAATTTTGAAAGTTTTGGAATATATTTGGAAGCCTGAAATAAAAAAATCTTATTCTATTAAAATAGGAGACCTTAGGATGGAAAAAATAAAATGAAAATAGAAGACTTTAGGCCGAAGCTCTTTTACTGGAATATAAGCCTTTAAGCTGGAGCTCTTCTTCTGGAATAGAAGACCCTAGGCTGGAGATCTTCTATTGAAATTAGAAAATCTAGGCTGGAGCTCTTCTACTGTGGTAGAAGACCCTAGGATGGAGCTCTTCTACTATAGTAGAAGACCCTAGGATGAAGCTCTTCTATTGAAATAGAATACCTAAGGCTGGAGCTCTTCCACTGAAATAGAAGACCTAAGGCTGGAGCTCTTCTACTGAAATAGAAGACCTAAGGTTGCAGCTCTTCTATTGAAATAGAAGACCTTAGGTTGGAGCTCTTCTATTGAAATAGAAGACCTTAGGTTGGAGCTCTTCTATTGAAATAGAAGTCCTTAGGTTGGAGCTCTTCTATTGAAATAGAAGACCTTAGGTTGGAGCTTTTCTATTGAAATAGAAGACCTTAGGTTGGAGCTCTTCTATTGAAATAGAAAACCTTAGGTTGGAGCTCTTCTATTGAAATAGAAGACCTAAGGCTGGAGCTCTTCTATTGAAATAGAAGACCTAAGGCTGGAACTCTTCTATTGAAATAGTAGACCTAAGGCTGGAGCTCTTCTATTGAAATAGAAGACCTAAGGCTGGAGCTCTTCTATTGAAATAGAAGACCTAAGGCTGGAGCTCTTCTATTGAAATAGAAGACCTAAGGCTGGAACTCTTCTATAGGAATAGAAGACCTAAGGTTGGAGCTCTTCTATTGAAATAGAAGACCTAAGGCTGGAGCTCTTCTATTGAAATAGAAGACCTAAGGCTGGAGCTCTTCTATTGAAATATAAGACCTAAAGCTGGAGCTCTTCTATGGCAATAGAAGACCTTAGACTGATGGTCTTCTATGGCAATAGAAGACCTTAGACTGAAGCTCTTCTATGTCAATAGAAGACCTTAACTCCTCTCTTAGCTGAAGCTCTCTTATTGGAAAACGAGACCTCAGACGAAGATCTCCTATGGAAATAGAGGATCTTAGAGTGAAGCTCTTCTATGGCAATAGAAGACCTTAGACTGAGGCTCTTAGACTGAAGCTCTTTTATTTAAATATAAGGTATTAGGTTGAAACTCTGCTATTTAAATAGAAGACCTGTAGCAGACGTAGTTATATTGAAACTGAAGTTGGCACCCTGAAGTTCTCCTATTGAAACAGAAGACCTTAGGCCTTTAACACTTCTATTGAAAGTCTTTAAAGTATTCTTTGTAGCAAAACTATTCTAATGAAATAAACATGTTTACCATGAATACTTTCTATTGCATAATATATATTTTACCGAAATGGCGAAAATTGGCGCCCAACGTGACTTTGAAAAAAAAAGATTTTCAATTCTGAGCTAGATTCCTTAAATTCTGTCTAATTCTATAGAAGATATCACACAGAAGCTCCTAATTATAAATTGAAGGCCTAGCTCTGAAACATTTCTGGTGTTGTTGTTGGAAAAGAAACTCCTACTTTCTGAAGTTTTTCCATATGAATGGAGGCTGGCGCCCAACGTGTCTTTCAAAAAATATAGTTTATTTAAAATATAGTTCATTCTATAGAGATATCTCACAGAAGCGCCTAGTCATAAATTGAAGGCCTAGTTCTGAAACATTTCTGTTGTTCTTGAAGAAGAAACTCCTACTTTCTAAAGTTTTTTCATATGAATGGAGGTTTGGCGCCCAACGTGTCTTTCAAAAGATAAAGTTTAGTACTAATTGGAATTCCTGTGAATCTGGAAATACAATAATATACTGCTGGGTGAAAATAAGGTGAACTAAATTAAGATATAGCTAAAAATGGCGCCCAACATGACTTTAAAAATATTGTTTTCATTTCTAAGCTGGATTCTAATCTAGTCGTGTCTAGTTCAACAGAAGAACTGGAATTCTAGCTCTGAAACCTTTCTATTGGAATGACGTTTGGTGCCCAAAGTGGTTTTCTAAATCAGACTTTTAATTCTGATTCAATAGACACTGAAGCTTCTAGTTCTCCCTGAAAGGCCTACTCTTGAAACGTTTCTATTGGAGCGGGATTATCAAAAATTTATATCTATTCTAAGTTACATTTCTTTGAATTTAGTTTTAAAAATTTGTGTCGAAATCAATAGAAGAAACTCCTACTTTCTGAAGTTTTTCTATTGGATTGAAGGTTGGCGCCCAACGTGTTTTTCAAAAATATACATTATTTTACTTCCAATTTGGATTCCTGCAAATCTGGTAATATAATAATATTCTACCAGGTGAAAATGAAGCGAACTGATTAAAGTAGGGACCATGTTTACCATGAATGAATGCCTTTTTATTGCTATAACTAAAAATGGCGCCCAACATGACTTTAAAAATATTGTTTTCAATTCTAAGCTGAATTCTAATCTAGTCGTGTCTAGTTCAACAAAAGAATTGGGGGTCTAGCTCTGAATCCTTTCTATTGGAATAGAGGTTGGCGCCCAATGGGATTTGAAAAACCGACTTTTAATTATTATTCAATAAAAACTGATGCTCCTAGTTCTCACTGGGTGGCCTAGTTTTGAAATGTTTCTATTGGAATAGAGGTTGGCGCCCAAGGGGATTATCAAAAAATGTACATCTATTCTAATGTAGATTTCTTTAAATTTAGTTTTCAAAGGTTGTGTCTTAATTTCTAAGGCTTTTCCATTGATATGAAGGTTGGCGCCCAACGTGACTTTCACATAATATATTATTTTAATTCCAATTTGGATTCCTGCAAAGCTGATAATACAATGAGTAATACACTACAGGGTGAAAATTAAGCTAGTTAATCAAAGTGGGCGGTCCAATGTTTTACCATACATGTTTTCTGTATGTTGGCGCCCAACATGATTTCTAAAATATATACTCTTGTATAATTTCTATTTCTAATCCCATAGAAGGCATTGCACTGAAGCTTCTATTTTTAAAGGAGGCTTCGGGTTTTCTACTGGGATAGAGGAACAGAGGTTGGCGACCAACGTGGCTTTTATACTATATATTTTTACATCTAACTCCTGGAAATCTGACAATACAAAGACAAATAATTTAAGTGGCGTCCAACGGAATGAAAGATTATCTAAATATAAACTAAATTATATTGTAAATATGCAGTAGATATTCGAAGAGATTCTCCAGGTTAAAAAGATTAACTTTGGATACCGGCGAGTTTAGCTGCTTTCTTCTGATTGAGAATATAAAAATTTCACATTCACAACAATTTGTCTGACATGCTGTAACATGGAATTTATTCGTTAAAACTGGTCCATGTTCAAGGATTTTTAACTTCCAAAAATTAGAGGAACGTTTTTTCCCAAAAAAAATGTGTTGTTCTAAATATTCATACAATATAACTGCACTTCGTAGATCTTCAAAGATAGAAACCTTCAGAATAGTTGCAATCCTTCCCAACTCATAGCAATAACAAAATTTTCGGAATATCTTTCCGCACCAGCACATTTCCCATAAATCATAATAGACATGCTTCGCATTTGAAGGCACTTCTCCATACATGTAGTTGGGAAGAGGTTTAGTAGTACATAAATTGTAGCAAGTTTGTTACATCTCATCATATGTCTTCTCTCTCTCTCCCTCTTTTTCGTTTGTCCAACAGCTGGAACGCCTGCATCCCAAACTTCTGAACAACACCCCCTTTTCCCAATTCGATTTTCTCTTCTTCAATCGTGTACCCAAGGTGGGCAGTGAGCAACTGATAGAATTGATACGCCAATTGGGTCAAGTAAATGATTTCAGTGTCAGTCGGGCGCCATTTTCGGCACCCGTACGCTATCATTTGAATGAAGTTGCACAAGCGGAATTGGTCGATGAACTATACGAAATGGGTCCGTCGCATGCGCATAGCATGCATGTAAACTTTATCAATTTTCGTAGATATGATACCTCCCAACCGATCTATATAAATTTGGTGCGTGACCCCGTGGAAAGAGTAATAAGTTGGTTCTACTATCGCCGTACCCCATGGAGTGCTGTGCAAAACTATCGTGTCACCAAGAAATTTTTCGATGACAAATTCTATAAGAAAGATTATCACGATTGTGTTCTGAATGCCGATCCGGAATGTGTCTATGAGCAGGGAGCAAGTTTTACCCAAACACAGGCTCAACACATACGTCAAACCCTGTTCTTTTGTGGTCACGATCCGGTTTGCGAGTAGGTTCAACTTTTTCAATTTTCCAACTTTATTTTGAGAACAAAATCTAATTGTTTTTAGACCTTTCAATTCGTATGGTGCCCTACAAAAGGCCAAAGAAATTGTGGAACATGATTTTGCTGTAGTCGGTTCGTGGGAAGATGTCAATGTCACCCTGAGGGTTTTGGAGAATTACATACCTAAATATTTCCGTGGTGCCACCAAATTGTATTATGGTAAAGAGACAATTCGGAAATTTGTGTTTATGATTTTTTATAGCCAATTTGTTTTCAGATGATTTGGCCAAGGTCAAGCGTAATAGCAATAACTGGAAACCCAAAATCCGTGAAGATGTAAAAGCCTTGGTGCGCAAAAATTTCACCCGAGAATATGAATTTTATCATTTCTGTAAACAAAGATTGTATAGGCAATATTTTGCATTGGATAATGTTTAAAATAAACTTCGAATAAAGTTGTATAAAATAAAGAATATTTAACGAATGTAAATAATCTATACGGGTCATTTCGACCCTTCTTCAAATGCTGTAGAATATTGTTTTTCTTGAAAGTATGTTTACTAGGAAAAGGATTGTAAATGTAGCTTATTTAGGGCACCCAACGTTTTCCTTCACTGTTCCATGCACTAAAACAAGCCATCACTTCATCGTTCTCTAATATTGTCCCGAGAAAACGCTGTATCAACCTTGTTAAGAAGAGAGCGTTTTCATTTGCGTCTCTTGTAAAATCAACAAAAC